CAAAGGTGGGACTCAGGCTATTCACCATCAAGTCTTCCAGGTAAACGGTGACAAAAATGCCAATACTGACTCTCTTTTCACAGTATTCAGTTCATCTGAGGCCCCTGAGTTCACAAGAGTCTAAGTTATTATCCCCATTTACAGAAAACACTGGCCCATTACAGGAAATAATGCCCAACTTGAAGGCAGGCAGGGCTGTCCTTCTGTCTTAGGTCTGTCGCCCCTCGTGTTCCACTGAAGAGGGCCAGAGAGGGGCACTAGATGAGGCTCTACAGCAAGTCAATCTCTCTAGCCTCAGAGACCTGGCCCTTTCTGCTGGGTCCACGGAGCACCTGAAAACCCACTCCAGAGCCTCAGGCTTCAGTGACACAGGTGTCTCCCTGGGGAGTTTCAGGTAAAGTGAATGAGAGGTTCGTGTGCTACACCGTGCTCTGTTCCCCTAAATGCTCTAAAGAACAAGGCAGGCACTGAACACTGGGAATGAGAGGAAACAATGAAGGGAACAAGTTCACTGCATGCTGTCACCAAGAAAGCAAAAGGTGACCGCAACAGTCTCCCTACCTTTCCAGGGCATGTGGAGACACAGGAGGCTATCACGCGGCCAGGACTGCTTCAGAAATTGCCACTTGGGGTTATATCACAAGAGCCAAGGCTTGTGCGGGGTGATCCCCTGCTGCAGCTGTGATGCTTGAGAAAACTCTGGGGCAGCCTGCAGCTTGTCCCCAGGAAGAAAGCACGAAGCCCCGTTCTTCCAGAGCCTGTCCTTGGGAGAGGAGGGCAGGTGCCATCCAGGAACACCTCACTGGCTCACTCATGCCCAAGGGATTCAAGTTGTTCCCGCACCAAAGCATGTACTCTCCCTAGCCAAGCTGAGGGTAGGGGTCTGTCTAAGGTGGGTTGGGGCCTTCTACGGTGGCACTGAAAGGTGACAGAACATGCCACTCCAAAAGATGGTACCTTGGCAAGAGGACTCTTCTGGGCTGATAACAATCAAAAGAGCAGATACAAGAAAAGCTCTCATTCTCCTCTATTTGCCTAAAAGCAGGACACTTGTAAAATTTACAAGGGAGGACAAAAGTGATGCATTACCAAGGACAACTTTGGATGCTTATCTGTCCAGGGACAGCACCATAGGAATCTCTATAGCAAATGTCATTATTAGCCCTTGCCCACCATGACCTTCCCATTTATTTGCCTTGCCATAATTTGCTGCCCCTGGAGACTCGAGGTCGCTCTCTTCTGTCTTGCTCTTTCTCTATGACGGTATTGCTCTTTGGTGAAGATGCTGTCTAAGTGGGAGTTCCTCTGAGAGCTACTCATTGTCATGTATGTGAGGACTACATGTTAATACACCCCACCATTTTTCTCTTGTTAATCTCTTTTATTACAGGGGTTGGGTTCAAGAACTCAGAAGGAGAAAGGGAAAATTAGTTTTTCCTTGTCTTCACTGGGAACCATCCCAAGGGCTCTCATTTCCACCAGTAATGACCCTCCTCCCACTGTGTTCAGGTGGCCTCAAGGAAGGCCCTCCAGGAGGGTGCTCAGTGACACATCCATCAGTCCCTGCCTGGTGCCCTGGCTTGCCAAGGAATCCTATCCCTCTTGGAGCTATCTGGCACGAAGGGGTCCTGGGAAGTGACAGTGGGAAAGGTATGCAGACACAATTGTGGGCTGCCTCGGGTCCCTTTTCAGACAGGCCCTTGGGGCTTCTTCGAATGGGGCGACTCCAGCTGATGTTGGGGAGGACCCTGGATCCCTTCCCATGCTCCACAAGGGCAGGTAGGTTAAGGGTCAGGCTTCCCTGTTCTTAACTAGTCTTCTGCCAGTGAACTGAATCCTGAGTGCCCCAGTAGAGGGGGTTTCAGGTGGGCTAGAGGAGGCCTACTGGCAGAGACTGTTAGGATGTGCTCCTGGGACCTGATTTCCACCTGCAGAGAGCATGTGCCAGCCTCCCAATAGTCGCCACGTAGGAGCAGCCCACAGGACCAGAGCTCGATGGACAATCTCCTCTGGACCCTGCAGCAGTGAGAATGGCCAATGTAGTCCCTTTGTGCCTGGTCTGGTAGAAGAGCCAAAGCTGGGCAAGGGTAGAGCTGGAACCAAGGAAACATCCCCTGAAGCATCTGGAGCAGGGCAGACAGAATCTGCTCATGGGCCAAAGTTTATGTTCTTAGGCCTGCAGCTTGGCTCCTGACCACCCCCCCCGGGGGGGAGGGCTTTCTTTAGCCTCTGGCATTTGTCAGGCAGCACACCAGGATGCTCACCACCCTGCTCTTCCCAGACCCCAGGGAGTGGGGTTCACCCATGACCTTGGAGGGCTCACAGGGGATGATTCAAGCACTTCCAGCCCAGGGTTGCGGGTGGCTGGGCTCCTAGAGGAGAGACAGCCTTCCTTCCTCTCATACCATCAGGAACCAGTCCTCATAAAGCTGCAATGGTGTGGTAAGGCCAGGATTTCCTCCCTGGGACCTGGCTTGATAATGACATGGTGGTGGTGGTGGGGTATACCAGTTCCTCTCTGGATAATTCTCCAAAGATGTACCAACTTCCAGAGTTCACAGAGGCTGAGACAACTAATGTATCTCTCACTGCCTACTGACTACCTTTATAATGACTCTCCCTTACCTAAATGTCAAGCTGACTTTGACTGGTAGTGGTTCCCATCATGTCACATCATGCTGAAAAGGTCCCAAGGTCCCATCTATGCTATGTGGGAAAAACTGATGTGACTGATTAGCAATGTCCGTCACGGGGAGGGAATGGAGAACAGTGGTATGTATGCACCTTTGCCTCTTTTGCTATTGTACTGTAAACTTTCACATGCACATCTCATTTGGTTAGAGCAACACTATGCCCTAGGAACAATGAAGATTATTATCCATTTACAAAAGAGGACACAAGTAGAATGGAAGTCAAGTGTTTTCCCAAGTCACCAGAGTGCATCAGGGTCAGAGCCAGGATTAGATCCCAGATGTCCTGAGTCCTAAACATGTACAAGGAAGACACTCAGAAGGGGTAACACTTGAGATCAACATGCCAAAGTGTTTCCATGTCTTTAAGAAAATATGCTTGGTAAATCTTCCCAGGCTTGTGATTTGCTATTCTTTATGCACATGTGTGGGATGCTGGCAGGAACAAAGCATGTGGAAAGGTGACAGGCTGCCCACGCAGGAGATTACTGCCCCTCTGGTTGCCGGTAACATTAAAAGGGGGCAGGCCTGGCTCTGGCTTGCTCCAATTTCATCAAACTGGCAAGGCACCCCAGGAAGAGAAAAGGGACCATTTCAGTAACATCTGCAGGGAGATACTCTGGACGGCTATTCAGTTACCATGGAAACCCACCCTTGGAAACTGCTTCAATTTCAGGAAAATAGCTACAAACAATAATAAGCATAAATGAAAAATGGTACACTGTTACTTCAAAATTGTACTTGTTATTGGATTTTCTAGGGTTTTAAGAGCCAAGCCTGCAGGCTCATAACCATGAACACAGTGGCAGGCAGACATCTCTGCCTGGCTGCGGGCCTGATGGCAGCCCACATCCTCCCTTCCGCCTCCCTAATCAAGTTTCTGGATATGACCTCTGGTGAGGCATTTATCAGAGAAGCGAATGTCTGAATTCTAGGAGGAAAGAGGATGTGCCTTGGAAAAAAACAAACATTTACTGAGCCAAATGGAAGGCAACAGGAGCCATTTGGAAGAAAGCATGGCTGGGGTGGAAGACTGTGTCATGGGCATTCTTGAAAGGGGGCTGAACATTCACATGGGCCTAAGTCAGAAATTCTTGAAGAAATGAGACATCAGGAAAGACAGCTGAGCTGGGCGTCCTGTTCTATTCCATAGTCAAGGGTGCTAGGGGCTGGAGAGGACCTTATAACAGTGACTTGGGCTAGCCCTCTCCCAAGGGAGATTTCCATTCCCTTGGCAAAGTCCTCACCACATGATCACTGAGTATGCATGAGATTATGCTGAGTTATAGCTTCAAAGCCAGCTCCTTACAGCTCTACTCGTGGACAAATCAGTCCCTTTCAGCCACCTGGAGCCATTCTCCAGATCCTTCTGTGTTCTCTGTGTGGCACATGTCAGGGTTACCCTCGTGCCATTCTCAAACTGCCCTGGTAAGGGGCATCTGAGGTGGAAGCCACACCCTGACAGGAGAAGACTGTTGCTAACCATGGGCTCCTAGATGATTCTTCAAAAATCACTAGAGCATATGCAGGCTTTCAGATTAGTACATTTGTCCTGATGCCTGCTCTCTGGGAGCAGCAAGGATGGCAGGGAAACTGGTTCTCTCTTGGGCTGACCACACCACCTGTCAGAGCAGGTACTCAGTGATGTTCCTGGACTAGAGACCCCACTGGCTGGATAAGTACAATCGAGGCTTAGAAAAGGTGGCTTACTTGCACATGGTCAGGCAGGCAGTGTGGCAAGGATGGGTCAAGAGCACCAGCATCCTTCTTCCCAGCTCCTGAGCCTTCCCACAGGTGGGCCACGGTGCCCCAGGCACCCAAGTCCTGGGTCCACACCTTCAGACTGGGGCTTTGGGAAACCATGCTAGGACCATTCTCAATGTATGCTCGAATCAGGCCCGATATGACAGTCCATGGCAGGGCATGGACTGAAACCCAAGGAGACACAGAGCTCCCCTGGAATGAAGAAGGAAGCCTAATGACCAAAGAAAGGGTCCTGGGGACCCTGGGAGGAAGAGCATTTGGGGAATCCCTAGGGTTTAAATTGGCTTCCAATGAGGCTAGGAGCCAATGAGTAACAGAGAAAGCGCTTTGGGGCTAGAACACTTCCTTATGACAAAAGGAAGACACAAAAAATACCAATTGACCCCTCTAGATCTTTTAATCAATGGAGACACAGGGAGCAGTCTCTCCCACTGGGGCAGGAGGAAGCCATCTCACCTCCTAGACACCAGGGGACAGAGATCAGGGAAGAGCACCAGCAAGGGACAGGCACATGGCAGGGCCGGGGGAGGGGCAGGGCTGACTCACCAAGCTGTGCATGATGCGTGTGCTGTCTGGGTTCACCGTGAGTGCCTCCTGGTACAGCTGCCTGGCCTCCTCCAGGCTGCCCTTCACTTCAGCCAGCCGGCCCCGCATGTAGAGCACCGAGTGAGAGGTAGGGAAGAGGCCGGCTGCCTCTTGGATGCAGAAGCCTGCCTCCTTCAGGTGTCTCTGCTCCATGAACAGCTCAGCTGTGGAAGCAGAACAGCCACAGAAGGTGTGAGGTGGCTCAGAGGCGGAGGCCCCAGCACTCCCCCAGTCATGCTGCCGATGCCCTTACTGCGGGGGCACAGGGGTAACCTAGGTAACAGGCCACGGTGCTCACTCTGTGGCAGAGGGCTCCACACAGACAGTCTCAGTCAATGCGCCCCCAAACCCTGGAAGACAAGTGCTGTCAATCCTGCTTTAGAAATGAGGGACCTGGGCAGAGGAGATGGCACCTCCCCAGGGCTCCATGGACACTAAGCGATGAAGGCAGGATTTGTGTTGGACCATCTGACTTCAGGGCCTGGGAGTGTGGACACGGAGGGGGTCCCCTGGGGCTGAGCACTCGCTCAGGGCTGTCTGATTTCTGTTTCAGACGCTTCACCCATGTGTTCGTGGTGTGCCTGGGCTATGGGGGCAGCAGCAGGTCTGGTGGCTTGGTGGCTCTCTGGGAGGCCTCATCGTAGAGGCAGAAGGGAGGCTGCAGGGCTGACTCTGCCACCCACTGGTCATGCTCAGGCTGAGGAAGGATGTGCTCAGAGCCCCGCAGGTAGCCCGGTAATCCTGCCAAGGACAGGAGAGGAGGAGGAAAAGGGAGAGAGGAGGCTTGGAGGCACCTGCTAAAGAACAGCACAGAGCTCAGACCAAATGGCACTGGTAAGAGACAAAGCCACCACCTGCATTTATGGAACATGGCCTGTGGGCCAAGCCCTGACTCCACAGAGCATTTCCTCTCAATCACCCTCATAACTAATCCTGCTGGTACTGTTGTGATCTCCACTTTAAGAAATGAGTAGAGGAATCCAGAATCTATAAAGAATTAAAAAAAAATCAGACCTCCCAAATTTAAAGACCCAATCCAAAAACAGGCATCTGAAATGAACAGACATTTCTCAGACAAAGAAGTAGAAATGACAAATAAACATGAAAAAATGTTCAACATCACTGGTCATTCGAGAGATGCAAATGAAAACAACACTGAGATCCCACCTCACCCCAGAAAGAATGGCTGCCGTCTGGAAATCAACCAATAACAAATGCTGGCGGGGCTGTGGGGAGAGAGGAACCCTGCTCCACTGCTGGTGGGAGTGTAGACTGGTGCAACCACTGTGGGAATCAGTATGGAGATACCTCAAAGAACTAGGACTGGAAGTCCCATTTGACCCAGCTATTCCACTACTGGGGATCTTCCCCAAAGAATTAAAAGAATCATACCACAGTGATACATGTGCACCCATGTTCATAGCAGCACAGTTTGTAATAACTAAAGCTTGGAAACAGCCCAAATGCCCATTGACTGGAGACTGGATAAAGAAATGTGGTTTTAAAAAAATAAAATGGAGTACTACTCAGCCATAAAAAATGAGAAATTAGAGACATTTATAGCTAAATGGATGCACACTGAGGCGATACTCTTAAGTGAAATAAATAGGACACACACGTGTAAATATCGAATAGTTTCTCTAGTGTGAGAAACTGCAACTGTAAATAAGGACTAAAAGGTACAATAGATAATGTGAAATAGGAAGAAAAGGGGCAAAGGGGAAGGGGAAGGGGAAGTGGGAGGGGTAGGGGAAAGGAGAGAACGGAAGTAATATGAGAAAATGGAAAAATGGAAACAAAGTCTTTGTAAATAGGGAGCGATGGAGGGGTTGAAGGGAGGGCAGGGAAAGGGGGAAAAATAAGAACCAAGAGAGACTATGTAAAGGAGCAAATTTCCAATGATGAATGTCATTATATTGTATACCTAAAATGTACCAATAAAATATGAAAATGTTAAAAAATAAAAAAAGAAATGAGATGGGGCCTCACTCCATTCCCCCTGGAAGAAAAGGCAAAGCCATATCTGGCCTCCCCACAAAGCAGACTCTGGCCATCAAGTAGGACCAGATCTACCCAGAAGCAGATCAGCGGGAAGTAGGCACCTTCTCTAACTCAGGACAGCCCACAGAAATGCACAGTTCAGTGCCCTGGCAACAGTGTCTGCCCACAGCAGATGCTTTTAGAAAGGCTGCATGGCGGCCTCACACCCCACTCTGCCTTCCTTCCAAAGCAGCCCCCTGGGCTCAGCTGCCCTGTCCTGGGGCCAGTGCCCATGTGGCAGTCACAGAAGGATGACAACACAGATGGGAGTGCAGGAGACCAGCAGAGTCGGGCTGTGGCTCTGCCAAGAGCTCTTCCTAGCAGGGCTGAAAGCTGAGGCAATGCCGCTTCCGATCACGTCTGGGGCTGGGTATCTGACAGACAGCCCCCAGAGGAACTCCCGGGAAGAGGCAGACAAAACAGACCCAGGCACCCCCCTCCGTGTCCCGGTCAGCCTCAGAAAGGACACAAAGGCCTCACTGCAACACATGACACTTGGGGTCCACAGAGTGAACACTGACTGCAGCTCAGGGTGCAATCCAAGCAGCTCGCCATGTCCAAAAATGTGAGAGGGCTCTGGGGACTGGGGCAGGCTTTTCTTCAACGGAGATGAGAACCTGGGAGACTCAGGCTCCCATGATACAAGGGCAGGGGAGGCTGGGGCGGATTCTTGTTCCCAGACACAGGCTGACAAGGAGACTGCCAAGGTGGACAGCACAGTAAAGCGGGGCTGGGGGATGGACTCTGAGCCCAGAGCCTTGCTAGGGGCTGGCCCAGGATTTAGGGATTTAGCTCTTTCTGTCAGGTTTCCTCCTCTGCTCTGCTGTTGAGCTGCCGCTGGGAGCTCCGGATAGGCTGCCTTGGTAACTGGGTGTCTAACGGGCAGCTATTGACTGTGTGCCTGGTCCTCTCAAGAGACAAGAACAGGGATGGGAGCGGGGGCGGATGAGCAACTAAACCACCTGAGGCCTAGGGGAGTAAAGTGACAGGCGCCAGCTCGGTGTTACAGGCACTCAAGGGGTCAGGTCAGCATGGCACGGAGGGCCTTCTGGAGGAGGCAGCATTTGTACTGCAGAGAGGAGAACGGAGACCACTGTGGCAGATTCCCCAGGGTCACGAGAGAAGGAGGGAGAGGCAGAAGGAGGCCTGTGGACGATGAGTGTTGGCATGGGGAGGCTGCCCCCACATCAGTGCCTGCGGCCACGTCCTCCCCTTTGGCAGAAGCTCAGCTCGGCTCAGCTGAGGCCCCAGCGCTCAGGCTCTCCATGCCCAGGCCTCAGGCTGAGCCCACTTGGCCATGGCACGGCTCATTAGGCTGTTTACAACTCGCTGCCCTGTCTCCTGAGCCCTCAGAGGTCTGTCCCTGCTCCCTCCCTTGGGGACTCCTTATGGTGCATCCACACCAACGGATTTCAATCAGAGGGAGAACTGGGCCCAGAGCCTGAGGGGGCACACACCAGGGAATGTGCCCCAAAGAAAAGGGAGGGCTGCTCCATGTGATGGCCTTTGTCACCACTTAGGCAGGAAGCCAGATGGCATGGTGCAGAGCCAGGGACGAGAAGTTTCCCAAGGGCGCTGGCCACACTGCACACAGCTGCACAGGTCTGGGGCCTGAAGTGTGCCCACACTTCCTGCCCTCAGTGCCCCTGGGCAGATGCCCCGGCTCCTACGCACTGTTTTACCAAACATGGTGCTCACAGCCAGTCAGCCAGGGCTGCAGGAGGAGCCTATGGCACCCAGCCCACTGCTGCCTGGACCTTCCCTTCCCAGCCTGGCACCTGGCCCACACTGCCCACACCCATCCTGGCCTCCCCTGGCCAGGGCTGGCGGAGAACTCACTGCTACTAGCTTTTCCTTGTCCACCACCCCAGCGACAGGACCCTCCGGGACCTTGGCACCTTTACTCTGCTTCTCCCCTCCTTTCTCTCTGGTCCCCTCACCCTCCTGCTACTTCTCAGGTTCCTCTCTTGCCTTCCTTCTCTGGTTGGTTTTCGTCCTCTTGGCACTCTCTTTCCCCACCCCCTCGTCCCTCTGTGCTTTCTCTCCGCAGGCTACAAATGGAAAACATCTGCTCCCTGGAGCTTCACAAGAGTCCCTTTTATTACTTTTCTCTGAGGCATCCTGGTCTAACCTTGCACCCAGAGTGGTTCCAGTCTTCCTGCCATTCTTGCTGGAGCCCAGGCTCTCCACCCCGGCCCGGGGACGGGCCTCACCCAGGCTGGAGAAGCCCAGAAGCTGGGGGCTCGGGGCCGCCCCAGGCGAGGTGTGCTTCCTACAGAGACTGCCCCAAGACCTCAGAAAAGGGAAAAGAGAAAAAAGAAGAAAGGAAAGGGAGGGAGTCCTGTCAATTGAGAGCTTGGAGACACCCAGGGCAAGAGAGAAATATGTTCCCTAAAAGGAATCCACCTTGGCTAACCTTGAGCACCAGTGTGGCAGTTTCAGTGACCCCCCAACGGAAATCAGCATCCCCCACCCCGCCTGGAATAGACCATCAGGACATATGGACACCCAGAATAAAGGGAAGGGAGGAAGGAATGAGAGAGAAGACTCAGGGTAGGAAGGAGCAAGACCAGAAGAGTCACACAGAGAATAGAGAGGCTGACTTCAGTCCTTCAGCCCTGGGGCACAGAGAGCTCCAGGGGGTTGGGGGTCAGGAGCCTTGAGGGGCTGGCATGTCTTCCTGCAGACAGGGGACACTGGGAGGAAAGTGGAGGAAAAGTCAGAGCAAGGGAAGAGGAGGATGTGGGAAGAAGGCACTGAAGGCAGGGGGCTGGGCTGGAAAAGAGGGGAGAGTGAAGAAAGACAGAATAGAGAGCAAAGGGCCAGGGATTTTGTTCAGTAGCACAGCACCTGCCTTGTAAGCACAAGGTTCTGAGTTCGATTCCTGGTACCAAAAAAAAAAAAAAAGAGCAAAGAGGGACACAAAAGTAGGAGAGCAGGCAGGACCCAAGGTGAGAACCTGCTTCTCCCTTGGCTAATTTTATAATAAACACCAGCTTCTGCCACAGCTGCCCAGTGTGCAGAGGGCATAGCTGGGTGGCCCACACCTGCAGGTCAGGCACACAAACAACTAGGGTGCCACAGTCCAGTCAGCATGAAGCTGGCACTGGATTACTGAGACTCAGGCCAGCTTCCCACAAGCAGAGGGAGTCCCGAGCTGCTCCCTCAGCCCATCTCCCCCTCTCTGGCACTGTCAGCTCCAAAGCAGGGCATGGAGCACTCCTGCTTTGCTACAAAGGACCTCTTCAGACCCTGGAGCACCCACGGGGCTTGGTGCTACTCCCATTTCACAGCCCCACTGACTGAATAAGACCCCTGCAATGAGCTTCTTTCCCTCCCAGGGGCCTGTACAGAGGGCTGGGGTGGCAGGGAGCGTGAAGAGGGGAGGAAGGATGGAGAGACCTGGGAGAGGAGGGAGGCGACATTTCCCAACCAGAGTGGCTTCATGCTGGAACTTTTTGCCAAAACAGACTGGGCTGCAATTTTATCTTGAACCAAACTAGAGGGATCAGCTCATTCCAAAATGATGAAGAGATCTCTTTCCCTTCCTATAAATTTGTGGCAGCTGGTGGAACCATTAGTGGGGATGGGCTCGGATGCTGAGGACAACGTGCTTAGCCTGAATTAGGTGGGGCTGTTAGGGAGAAGTCATGGCCTTAGTAACCTACTCCTGGCTGCCCTTTACCAGCAGGTGCTCAGTAGATGTGGACGCTGATGAAAACCAGGGGAGGGGAGAGCCTATGGGGTGCAGATTGCCCTAGAGTCCTCAAATTTTTACAATGAATGGTCACCATGCAGCAGTCTACTGCCCCTTCTGATTTTTTTTTTTGGTGGCATTGATTATGAAACCCAAGGCTTTGTGCATGTTAGGAAAGCACTTTATCACTGAGCTGCATCCACAGCCCCTTTTCAAATTTTGAGACATGGTCCTGCTAAGTTGCTGAGGCTGTGCTCAAACTTGCAATCCTCCTGCCTCAGCCTCCCGAGTAGCTGGGATTTCAGACATGTGCCACCATGCCCATTGATCCCTTGATTTTTAATGGGGCATATGAAGCTGGATATGGTGGTATATGGCTACGATCCCAGCACTCAGGAAGCTGAGGAAGGAGGATCACTGTGAGTTTGAGGTCAGCCTGGGATATTTAGTGAGTTCAAGGCCAGCCTGAACTTTACAGCAAGACCTTGTCTCAAAAAAAAAAAAGGTGTATATGGACACCCAGAATAATGACATCTTCCTGAGTCCTTTGCAGTTAGGGGTAATAAATAATGGAGTTCTGACCAATGATCCCCAGGGGAAGAAATGTGTGTAAGTTCCAGGATATGTCCTAATGGGAGGGAGTGCTCCCCCATCTCCTCCACATTTATCTTACATCCTGGAATGTGAATGTGGCAGGGAGCCATTCTGGATCACATGGATGAGAGCAACACCCTAGGGGCAGCAGAGCTGTCACCCCAGTTGAGGCGGTTATGTCCAAACTATTATATGAGAGAGAAATAAGCATGTATCCTGTGTGACCCCTGCAATTCTGGGTCTGCTACCTGCACCCAGATCATCTCCTAACACTACCCTGCCTGGCTCTCATCTGGCACAGTGTTCAAAGCATTCAATGGACTGACATCTGGGACAATGTCCAGAGAAGAAAGGCTGGTATGCAACTTACTGTGGGACATGTTTATGTTGACACGTCCCAGCCTTTCACCTGACAGCAGCACAGGCCAGCACCCTGAGTGAGCAGGCAGAAATGCAAGAAGGGATGTGCCCATGGTAGTGAATGTGGCAAATTAGAAAAACGAAAGGCCTTGGGAACTGCAAAGGCCCCACATGGGTGCTGTTCCCTATGCCATGGATACATGTAGGGGCCAGGGCTCCATTCTGCCCCCGAAGAGGAGAGTCCATATGGCTCCATGTCTTGGGAGATGGCAGGGAGATCTTGGCCTAGGAGGAGGCTTGTTTATTATCCTCTGGATTCTTCAATATTCCTCCTCCTACTTAAGATCCACAAGCTGTGGAGCCCACCCCCTACCTCCCTGGCATCCTAAGGGACCTGAGATGCTAAGTGGGGCAATATTTGCATTATGCAAATGCTCCTAAGTCTAGCCTTTCTGTGGATCCTGGTCCAACTTTTTTTTCCATATTCAGATCCTGCAATGGGGAGTGCAGGGGCGTGCTGCATACTAATGTGGCCAAATGTGCAAAACATGTGAGGGAAGGCCTCAGAGCTGAGCTAACAAGCACCTTCTACAGCCTGTCGCAACATCTACTCTCTCCTCCAGCTCCGCTGGAGACTGCAGCCCCAGCCTTACGGTGAAAAGGGTGCAGGAGGGTGAGCAAGAGGAAGATGAGGATAGAGCCCTCTGGCAGCTCTGGAGCCAGGCAGGCTGGTCTGGTGCAGGCTCAGCGTTCCACATGATCCCTCATCTTCCTCTCCATTACGTTGTTGTCATTTGTTTTATTCAGACAGTAAATATCTTTGGCTCTGATTTTCTCTTTTTACTCTAATCTACCACCTGTACCATCGTCTAGTTGTCAGACACTCTGCAGTGAGTCCCTCCTAGGCTGACATGAGGATGCTCTGCCCACCCGCTGCAGCCTCTTCCTCCGCCACGATGGGAAGCCAAGCATCCCTGAGGAGCATGTGCTACACACCACACTAGCTACTTTGCACGACAGCACACTCGACCAGGGCTGGCCAGTCTGTGTGACACCAGCCTCCCGGCACTTGCCAGCCTGTGGGCTCTACAGGGGCAAGGGTGCCAGCTGGTGATTGTGAGGGACTGCCACCTGGATGGCAGTCTCTGTGCTGTCAGCCCTCTGACCCATCCGCATTGTCCTGACCTCAAACTCTCTCCCCGTGTTTGCTGCCAAGAACCTTTGCCAGGTAGGGAGGCAGGCACGCTCTGGACTGGGCCAAGAAGAATGCCTAGAGCCAGGCACATTAGGTGACTTGCTTGAGGCAAGCGAAGGAGGGCTGGAATTAGAACCTGTGCCAGGTTCCTGATCCCGAAGTGCCCTATACCACCTCCCTACTCCCCTGTTCCAGGGCAGCCCTGGTGGCTGCAGGCAGGCACTCACCAGCCTGGAGCCAGATCTGTTCCAGTGTGGTCCACAGCTGCATGGGGCCCTGCTTTAGGACCGATGTGGGCATGGTCAGCTCTGACATGGCCTCCTCTAGTCGTGAAGCTGCGATGGACGATGCCCGGTGAGAGCCTGCAGAGCAAGAGGGTGTGGAGCTGAGCAGCAGGGTCAGGATGCCAGCTGTGCAAGGACAGACAGGGCGCCAGGACCAGGGCAGGGTGGCAGGGCCCGGCAGCTGGCAAACAGCTCACAAACTCACAAGGGAGGGTCCACCGCCTACATTCCCCCACAGCTGCAGAGGGAAGCTTCGTAAGGGGCAAGCAGGCGGAAATCTCATGGGAACATATCCCAAAGGAAAACAGCCACAAATGTCAGCCAAAATGCTCGTTCAACTCCTCCCTATAATACTGAATACAACAGAAATTACCTGAATGTTAATGATAGGTATAATTAAAAATAAGCAAAGATATAATCATCTGAGACACTGCAGTCATTACAGTAACACTGCCTACATGTGACGTGCACATGGTGTGGAAGGATGCTCTCGCTATACAGATGGGTGCAAACCAGCAAGTTACAACAGAATATGATCACATTTTCATAAACAATGAGTAAGGGCATGCATGGAAAAAAGTTTGAAGTGCCATTTATTAAGGTCTGGGTGGTGAAATTCCCTTTTTCTCCTTTTGCCATTTTTACTTTGTTTTCACAAGTGCACATTAGTCTCCATGTGCAAAGGGACCATGGAAGGCTGTGAAGTGAAGAGTCTTTAGGCAGTGGCTCAAGTGAGACCTTTGCCCTCAAAAAACCTCTCCCATGGCACTTGTGGGTGGCATGGGCCTCTGCTTGGGATACGTAAGCTGTTGACATTTATAATTCCCATACAGGTGAAATGTGAGCACTTTCTCTCTTGCCCTCAGAGGCAGTAAAGGTTCCAACAAACTCAGGAGACCTCAGGGCAAACCACAGATGATTTCAGTTTATGAGACACGTGTACATGGAGTCCTAATAACTGGACACGATCCTCCCCTCTAAAGGCAAGGGAGCTACCCTTCCCCTAACCATTCCCTGCCTGGAGACAGCAGATCCACATGCTGCCCAGCACTCTGGAATGGGACCGAGGGTCAGGTGCGAGGATGGCTGCTGGAATCAACTCCATCACTCGTAACTTGGCTCAAGTCCACAGAAGTAAGAAAATGAGCAACTTCACTAAGCACAACTCCACTCACACTTTTGTTCGCATGACTAATTCTTCTTGTGTCTTTGAAGGTGTTTTGCTTTAATCAGATCTTCAGCTTAAACGTGTAAGTTTGTGGTTCCTGGATTCATTTGAATTTCACAACCCTTGGGTTTCAGGATAAGTTTTCCAGGAAGAGTCAGCTTTGAGCTTAGCAAAGCAAAGAGCTCAGCCCATTCCTTTCTATTGGACTCATCTATATGGCATCAGGTAGTCTCTGGCCTCTGGCACAGGCCTAAGAGGAAACAGTCTCTGCTCCAGGACACCTTGCCACCCCAGTCTCCTCTCTCTTCCCCTCACCCTGGAGGTAGGGTCCCTCCCTCACTCATACCAGCTGCTCCACGTACCCCAGGGCTACCCGATAGGTGTCCAAGGGCAGCACCATAGCATCAAGCCCCTTGGGCAGTGGTGGTGAGGAGGAAGAGGGGTTTGCCCAGGGTGGGCAAATGGCACCTTCCATGTGGTACCCAGGTACAGAGAGCGAGCTGTGGGCCCACATGAACAGTGGCCTGCGGGGCACATTCTTACCAGAGTCAGCATCATGGGCATCAGGCAGGGTCAGGTGCATGCCACTCTGTTTCTTCATAGTGAGCCCCTCGCCCAAGCTGCTATCTTTTTCCAGGCCTCTGGAAGGCAAAGGAGGGCAGGGTTGGTGAGAGAGTGGGTTGGCAGGAGAACGAGGGAGCCTCACTCCAGACGGGCCCTGGTGCTGAGAATCCAGGTCCAAGTCAAGACCACTGGGAAGGACCGATACAACCAGAGAAGCAGGGCAGATCAGCACGGCCCCACACCAACCCAGGTTTGGAGTGGAGATCTTCCCATACTGTCTTCTCCCTCCACTGAGACCAGGTGGGGTGAAACACTGCCACAGGCCAGGGTGAGGCCTTGACCTCTCAACTGCTATCCTCTCAATGTCTAGCAGAGTGCCAGGCAGAGCATGGGGACTCTGAACTAGCTTCCAGGGAAAGCCTGGTATTTGCAGGGCACCGAAGTGCCCCAGCCCACCCAGGGAAGGAGTGCCATTCCCTGCCACAGGATCCCCTGTCTCCAGCTGTCAGGGGGACCCAGGAGAGCCAGTGGGACCCTGGTGCGGCAGATTAACAAGCACAGTGATCCCACCTTGCCCCCCACCCAATTCCTCAGGCCCTTGCAGTTCCACTCTATTCTCAGAGCGGAAGTGGGGTGGGTGCTGCAAGATGCCACCAGCTAACGAAGGCAGCAGAGTTGTTACATTCCTTCTAGGGATAGGCAGCCCCAGCCAGCCCCTTCCCACTGCCAAGGGTGCCTGCTGCCCTTGACCTGCATGTAACTTAGAGGAAAAGGCAGAGAGGAGGAGCCCTGGGAAGTTCTCTTCCCTTCTGAGGGGGCCAACAGCATGGTCCTGCAAATAATGCCAGAGCCCAAGGTGTCTTTGCCAACCCAATTCAGGCTCACACTATCCCCAACCTGTGCCTGCGGATGCACACTCATCTTAGTAGGCATCAGAGAAAAACACCGACCAAAGCAGTGGCTTGGGCTGGTTCCCTTCCTCTCCCACCCTCTTCCTATTCCCAGTAGGCACCCAGGTGAAGTGCAAGGAGACACTAGGTTAAAATCACAGTGCCACCCCTTCTCAGCTCCGTGACCTTCAGCACAGTTACTTACCTTTCTCATGACCTTTCTCTCCTAAAAACAAGTGCAACAATCTCCATCTCAAAAGGCTGTCATAAAAGTAACTTGAGAGCCTGGGCCTGGGCCTAGCACAGTGCTGCCTTCCAGGAGAATGACCCATAGATATTTCCCATCTCCATTTCCATCTCCTGGTTTTTTTCCCATCCCTGGAAGGGGCCTCTCCTAGGGCTTCAGAATAGTCCATCTCGGGGACTACTTGCCACATAGTCCTAGGCCAATAACTAGCATGACAAGCCTTAAACTCAGATGGGGAAAAGAGACATTCCGAGTTGAGCAAGTAGCAAAGTCCCCTATGGAGAGGCTAAGCCAAAGCAGCTGAGGCCTGGTGGTTAGTGGGTTCATGAAGCAGGGACCTGGGGGGTGATGGGGACATCAGGCCAGCTGTGTGGCCCTGGCAGAGGAGAGGTAGGGGGATGCCAGGGAGCTTGGTGAGAGGTGGGGTAGGCTGGCTAGGTAGGGTGAGGCTGAGGGTAGGCCAGACCCTGGGGCTGTGGATTCTGGCCCTGATTCCAGGTTGCCCCAAACTAGGTTATAATAAGCCTTCATTTCTGATCTGTGGTCCCAAGGGCAGAGAAGAATCTTCCTTGTCTCCTGGGAAGGCCAGGGGGTTCCTGGATCCAGCTTCTGGTCCAGATGGGCACCTTGCTCTGGGTGGGGGTGCTGTGGGGAGTTTCCTGGGAGAGGGGCCCAGGGTCTTGTGAGTTGGATGCACCCCATCGGGCTCTCAGGTCAGAGATGGAGTGCACTTGAGGTGGTGTGACGAAACCTTGAGGCAAACTCCACTGGCTCCGCCCCCTGAGAGAGCGCCCAGCAGCCTTCAGCCCAGAGGCACAGGCCAGGCCTTGGGGGACCCCAGCTATGGCTCCAAGTGGCCCCACCAAGACCAGCCACCTGGTCGGGCAGACAACGACCCATCCCAGAGAGGATGCAGACAAAGAGCAGCCAGCTCTGGGGCAAGTTCTCTGCCACAGCCAGAGGGCAGGAAGGCGGGTGAACACAGGTCCTCTCACAAGAGCTCATATGAGCCTCCTCCCTGGACTTTTCTGAAAGGCCCCCACCCTACAGCCTACTTCTGGTAGCTTCCACTGCTGGTCCTGCCAAGGCCATGAAGGGAGGGCTGACCCCATCCTCGAGTTTCACTGTGTCCCGTTTCCCTGGGACACAATCCTCTGTAGGTTCCATTAAGACAGATGTTCCTCTGGGGAGTCTGCCAGCCTTCTGGGCTCCCTAGGTCCCTTTGAAAATCCAAACACCCATGGGAGGGGCCCCCTGAGGTCTAGGGGGATGCCACAGCCAGCAGTCCTGGAGAAAGTGAGGGTGGGGCCAGAGGTTCAGGAAGAGACAACGCCCTGCCCCTCATGAGGTCCCTGTCCCTTGGGCTGCACAGGCTGAGCCCAAATGTCCTGTGGGCTTGAACAGACTTTCGGTAGATTCAGAGGGACATGTGTGCCCTGCTCCTCAGAACCTCACCTCCTCTTCCTCTTCCTCTTCCAGGCACCAGACAAATCCAGGAAAGAAGCAACAGTCTCCACAGCTGGGACTCAGGAGGCCCAGGTTCAAGTCCCAGGAATACCGGTATCACTTACCAGCTAAGTAACTCTGAGTCACAGTTTCCTTTCTGGGCTGATAATAAAATCGGATAATGTATAAGATTATAAGTGGCTGACTCGCCAGATACAGTGATAAGCTCAGGACCTGGCTCAGGTACTCAGTGATAGTTTCTCTACCTTCATAGCATTCTGAGCGTCAGCTTCCTATGTATCTTCACACATATCCTAGAAGACTGTCAAGAAGTTAAAACTGGATCACGTGAACGCTAAGTTCCATCCTCTCCTCCAAACGCCCTCACCGTCCCTACCTTGCCAGGTGCTGTGGCCACTCTGCCGAGGACTGTTACCCTGGCAACCATTGCCTGCAGACCCTCTTCCCACCCTTGGCAACCCCAGGGACAATGACAGCCACTCACCCAAGCTGGGAGAAAGTGTACAGAGTCTGCCACAGCCGTAGCATTTGTCTGCAGGTCACAAGGGCTTCCTCTGGGCCTTTCAGCACCTGCTGCAGCTTCACCTTGGTGAACATGAGGCTGCAGAGAGAGACAGCGGCAGTCAGCAGGCCCAATGAAGCTTCTTCCAGGGTGGGTCTACCCCCTGGATTCTATCCACCCCAGCAGCTCGCAGAAGGGAGAGGGCCTGTGAATGCCTCTGCTGTACCCTCAGACCGCTTTTCTTCCCGTGCCTCAGTTTCTCCCCATCTTCATAGGTAAAGCATGAGGGGCTCTTCTGCACTTCTCAGTGCCTGTCCAGTTCGCACCACTGTCCCCTGACCATATACCATCCCACTCAACCTCTCAAGCACATTCAAATTGATTCCTGGTTGGCTCTGCCTCCCCACTTCCTTGGCCAAGCAGGCCCTGGGCACACACAGCAGTGCTTTGTACTTCTCCGCCATAGGGCCCAGGATGGGGCCTTGGTAAGACACACCCAGAACGTATCTTTGAATCAAGGAGGCTACAGGTAGTGCCAAGGCCATCTCAAGGGCAGAATTCTGCTTTCTGCTTTGCCAGCAGTTGGCGCTGACCAGCATCTAAATGGAACTGCAGATTTCGTTGGCTGACTCTGAATTCACTCAAATGGTCCTGTTACACTCTATTAAAGTTCTTCCTTGAATTTCCTAAGACGATAACCAGCTCCCTTGGATAAGAGGATTAAAATGACATGAAACCCTATTTAATCCCCACTTAGAAACAGTTGCTGTACCATGAGAATAGGTTCAGACCTTCACCTTCAAATGCCAACATTCTGAGTCAGGAGGGGTGTAGGATGTGGCCCTTACAGTGGGTGAGAGGAGGACCATGGAGGGGAGCCAGAGATCCAGCGAGGGGCGCCAAAACATTCAACGCAGCCCCATCAGAACACCTGCTTACCAAGACCTGGATGGGGGGTGAGACTGGAGACCCCGCCGGGGCAAGTGTTAGCCCTTCGAGCCTTGGAGAGGTCTGGGAGTGCTGTAGGAGGGTCCCTGTGGCTGCAGTTTCCCACTCTATATGGAAGTACTGCAGTGTTTCTACTGCCAGCACGGCCAGTGACAGTGATGCACAGGGGCTGCCTGGACATCCTGGGGAGAACACAGCCCACACAAGGCTGCGGGTGCCTCTTACTGAGTGGTCAGCAGTGAGGCCCTCCTATGTGCAGCACTGCTGCTGAGTGAACCAACTTGGCAGTGAGGCCCTGAACATGGTCACTGCCTATGCAGAAATGCGGCCCACACCAGCCTTCTGGATCGAGGTCCTAGCCCCAGACCGCCCAGGCTGCAGAAGGGAAGCTGGGCCTCCCCCGGGAGCTGCTCTTGCCACTTCCTCAGTTGGGGTTGGGCCTCCCTTTCCTCTGCATGAGACCTGGGTCTCCAGGTTTTACTCTGTGCCTTTCTTTTCACTCCTAAGATTGTGACTTACTGGCAGAGAATGACATCTCCCACATACATGGCTTCTGCTTTCCATTTTCACCCTTCCTCAAGGCTCACTTGAAATCCACCCTTCATGAACATCAACACAAGACCAACAGCTGGCCTCTGAGGCCCCAAGGGCAGAAAGCAGGGTCCCCACAGGGTGGCTGTGCAGCAGGAGGACTGGTTCTGCAGCCCCAGTGTCTTTTCTCAGATTCTTGAAGGGTCCAGTGCTCCACCAGTATTAGGTATCGCTGCTTTCAGGAGGATGAAGACACAATTTCTGTCTTCAAGGTAACAATTAGAGTGCTATAAATGTCAAGTTGCCCAGAGAATCGAGGACTGTATATTTGGATCAGACTCAGTGCTAGGAAAGAAGAGATATGGGGTCTCACTGCAGCTGGCATGTGATGAAGAAGAGGGTGGGTAGGCTGTGACCGGCAGTAGGGGAGAGACACTGGGGCTGCAGAGGTGGGTGAAGAGGTCAGAGCAGAGGGTGTTGGCGAGGCTAGGAAGCCTAGACCAAGGGCTGCAGAGTCCCTGGGCAGGTGACTAACCTGACCAGTGCTGGGTGGGGACCGTCTGCTGGGAAGACCAGCCCTGCAGCATTCCTGGATCTCTGCAGACCCACCTCCTCCTCAGCAGCTCCTCTGGGCTGGAGCCCCTTCCCACTGCTGTCCTGGTGTCCCTGGGTGCCAGGATGGTCCCTGGCAGACCTGACTATACCACATGCCTGGAACAGAAAGCTGAGCTGGTGTCCCAGTAGCTTCTATCAAAGCATGATGCATCCTGGAGGCTGCGACATTCCACGGGCATGAGTGGCCCTGAGTGGAATTTCTCAGCCCTACCACATCCTCTCTGGGCAGGGCAAGTGCTCCAATAGTCATTCTGGTCTCATCCCCACTCCTAGACCCATGCTCCAGCTGAGGTGCTTCCTCGGTCTGGGGCTGAGCACCCCTACAGGGATCATCCTCCAGGGCCCTTGCCTACTGTCCACACAGCAGTCCCAACGCGCAGGTGATCTTCAGGCCTTCTGGGTCCACTCTTGCTTCCACCCCTGCTGTCCTCCAGGACGCTGGGCTGGTCACACAGGACTCAGCACCTCTCTGAGCCTCAGCCCAGGAACTGGGACTCGTCTCTGCTCTGCTCCACATTGTGGCCTCTGCTGGGACTCGCCCCTGCTCTGCTCCACATTGTGGCCTCTGCTGGGACTCGCCCTTCCCCCTCAGACATCTGGCCAGCTCCTACCCAGAGGTCACCCTCTGACTTTCTCTGTGTCCCCTTGAGGCCTGTACATACTCCTCAGGACAGCTGTCACTGTGTCTGGATGTGGCCATTGGCACGCCTGCTGGCTTGGCTCGGATTTACTCTTGCACTTTCCCTGCTCACACAGAGGTTAGCAGGCGCTCTTGATTCTTCTGTAAGAACCAGATCCAGAACTGTGGGGACTCAGGCTCCCCTCCCCTCCCCTCCTGACCACTGCAATGGGTAGCCGCTGCCCACCCACATGCATGGGGGTTACACTGAGCCTGCACAGCCAGGAACAATCAGGAACAGTCAGAGCTGTGGCTGCAGAACACTGCTTCCCGGGTGGGGCAGGGTGGCTGGCAGAGGGCTCGGGTAGCATGGCCAAATCTAGCTCCTCACCCCTTCAAGCAGCCCAGCCCCTCCTCACCTGTCTTACATACAGGACAAGTCTAAAATTCCACTTGAATAAAGGATTCTGAGGCCTTTTAAAAAACCACAACTCTAGCGGTGTGTGGGAGCACATACCTATAATCCCAGCACTCAGGAGGCTGAGGCAGGTGGGTTGCCATGAGTTTGACGCTGGCTTGGGCAACACAGTGAGTTCAAGGCCAGCCTGAACTATAAAGTGAGACCCTGTCTCAAAAAAAAAAAAAAAAAAAAAGGCAAAAAACCAAAACAAACCAAACGCTGGTGAAGTAGCACACACCTGTAATCTCAGCACTCAGGAGGCTGAGGCAGGAAAATTGCTGTGAGTTTGAGGCCAACGTGGGCTAACAGTGAGACCCTGTCTCAAAAAAAAAAATCACTATTTAAATCTTTAGGCCACAGTCCCCCTCAAGAAGTCCCTAAGTGAAGCTCATCTTGGCTTTCTCTGGTGTCCAGGCCTACATTCAGTTAGTGCTTCATTACTCTCTCTTTCCATGTATACATGCTTAAGAGTTTAATGATGAAGATAAGCTCCTATCAAGCATTTTAAAAATGACACTCTAGAATCAGTCTGTTGCCAGTCCTGGCTATAAGTGGTACCCTGTGTCCTACTTGGGAGGTGCATACTCCCAGCACAGGGCCCCGCCTGCCTTCCCCACCACCCTGCACAGTGCTGGCCACATGGTGCCCACTCACACCTGGAACCTGGTCACTTGAGCTATTATAGCTGTGGAGGAGCCAGGGCCAGGCATGTCCATCCCAAAGCATCCACAGCAAAGCTGTCCTGTGAGTTAGACAGGACTGGAGAGGGAGCAGTGCACTAGAGCAGGGCATGCAGGTGCCTGGCCCCTCCCAAATAGGGTGTGTGTGTGTGTGCATTCATCCCATGGGGCAAGACCCAAAGTGTAACTGAGGACAGTGTGAGACTGGAAAACTTACATCCAGTGGCCCTCCAATATCTTGCCACTCTTGACAAGAGCTATTCCAGGACAAGCCCTGTACTTCGATGTCACCCAGAGTGAACAGACACTGGCCGAGGAGTTGAAGTCCCAGAACAAGCCCAGCTCTGCTGCCACCCACCTGGGCACATCACAGGTTCCGAGCCATAACACAGAAGGGAAGTTGCCTGCCCAAGGCTGCCCTGAGGCTCAGCCCCGATGACAGGCGAGCTTCGGGGACCCTGTGATGCAATCTTCCAGCCTGCAGACACTAAGGTTCTGGGTGGGGCCTCCTGAACCACAGCCTGCCAGGCTCCGCAGAAGAGTCTGTGGGCCGGCACCTCTGGAGCCCCAGAGGCCCCACTGGCCCTACAACCTAGTGTGGGTGAGGGTCCCCAGCTGTGACCCCTCCCACAAGCATTATCCTGTTCCTTGAGTGCAGTATGGCTGCTCAGAGTAGACACCGAGGTCTCTCAAGGCCCGAGCCTGGCCACAAGGCCGACCTCTGAGGCACATGTGGGTGGGTGTCCTCTGGGGAGGGCAGGAGCAAGGGCAGCACAAGCACAGTGCTTGTCCCATGGCTGGGGCTGCAGAAGGAGACACCAGGTCTGGGGATGTGCCTCATTCCTGCCACTCCCGGAGGCCTGGTCCAAGCCTCCAGATGTATGTGCCCTGATGCCAGAAGGAGCCAGGGTACAGACTCTTGAGAAGGAGCTGAGCCCTTTGGAGAACAGCACCAGGCCTATGACAGCCCCATCCCAAGTGCCCACCTCATCTGCGCCTGTGCTCCGGTCAGAGGCAGGAACCTGCACCCCCATGCTCTGGCCCCTGGGGACACAGGCTGGATCTCAGCTGACCTTCCTACTTGCTCTGGCCAGGAGCTGATGAGGAAGAGCCCTGAGAGAATGCTGGCATCTGCTCCTCTTCTTCCCTCTCTCCCAGGCCCGCCCTGGCCTAGTCTCAGGGCAGGACTAGACTGCTAATTATTTGTCAAAAGGATTAAGACTTGGAGCTCTTCCCGTTTTGAGGC